ATTTTAAAAGAATGGTGCAATGACCACGAAATAATATTACAGTTCATACAGCCCGGCAGACCGATGCAGAATGCTTACATAGAACGGAAAAACGGAAGCATGCGCAGAGAGCTGTTGAATACCTATCTTTTTACCAGCCTTGCTGAAGTCCGTCTTATGGCCGAAGAATGGCGCATTGATTACAACGAAGAACGGCCACATAAAGCATTAAAATATCTGTCACCAATGAAATATGCTGAGCTAAAAGCCCGGCAGCTAAGTGACCTTTATCCACAAACGGCGAATGGAAATCCCTCAAAAATTGGAATGAGCCGTTTAGTGGATAAAGTAGAATAACAAAAAGCCCTTAACTTAGAAAATTCTAATCTGAAACTGTACCGAAATAAGGGACGCTTACACAATGGGTTGTTTGCGTCTTCCGGATTATGGCATATGTCAGTTTTGAAAGCATTAGCTTTAATTTGACTGTATATTTGCATTCTTTTTAAATAAATTCTTTTTCATTGAGCATTCTAAAATTGGTTTATCAGAATATCATAAACTACCTGCGTACCAAATTAAGCAGGGGACAGTTTATTATACTGATAGCCGCGCTGGTGGGGCTGGCATCCGGGTTGAGCGCGGTAATTTTAAAGACCCTGGTGCACTACCTGCAGCACTGGATAAAAGAAATCCCGGTTTCCCGGTTTGCTTACCTGCTGTTTCCGGCAATAGGTCTTGTGATCACTTCATTTATTGTCAGGCATTTTTTTGGTGGCCATATAGAAAAAGGTATTGCCATGGTGTTGAAATCAATTGCCCGCAGATCTTCATTCATTCCGCTTAACCATACTTACCTGCATGTTATCACCAGTTCTGTTACAGTGGGTTTGGGTGGTTCAGTGGGATTGGAGGCGCCCATCGTTGCAACGGGGTCTGCAGTTGGTTCCAATTTAGCACGCATTACTGACCTGAGCTACCAGGAACGCACCCTGCTGATTGCCTGTGGGGCAGCTGCAGGTATATCAGCTGTCTTCAATGCACCGGTGGCAGGCGTCATTTTTGCGGTGGAGGTATTACTGGCGGAGACGGTTGTCAGCTACTTTATCCCCTTGATCATTGCCTCCGTGGTGGGTGTACTTTGCTCAAAAATAATACTTCGCGAAACACTGTTGTTCAATTTTGTGCTGAAGCAGACCTTCAACTATAAAAATGTTCCCCTGTATATTTTATTGGGTATAGCTGCTGGATTTGTTTCACTTTATTATGCACGTTTTTACAAAAAAACAGAGGGTAAAGTGCATGGCTGGAATATCAATGCCTACCTGAGAGCAATTGGCGGTGGCCTGATTTTAATGGCTATTTATTTTGTATTCCCGCCTCTATTTGGGGAGGGGTATGACAGCATAAAAATGGTTGCCAATGGTACACTTACAACAATTGCTGACAATACAACATTGTTCCTGAGACTTGGAGAAGACTGGGGAATTATAGCATTTACCGCATTTATTGTTTTGATAAAGCCACTAGCAGCGGGTATAACAATTGGGAGCGGCGGTAATGGAGGAAATTTTGCCCCTTCATTGTTTACAGGTGCTTACCTTGGATTCTTTTTTTCTAAATTGCTTAATCAGATACCCTGGATAAAAATGCCGGTAGGAAATTTTAGCCTCGTGGGAATGGCGGGCGTTTTAAGTGGCGTTATGTATTGTCCGTTGACAGCGTATTT